CTCCTCACTGAAATGCATTGAAAATGCATCAAAAACGCACTCACAGTTGCATTTCTTGAGTCACATGTCTTTTTTTTTTTTTAGGTGCTGCCTGATGTCAGGGCACCAGAAAACGCAACAAAAACGCAGAAAATACCACATGCATTTTTACTGCTTCTGACTTGCAACCTGCCGTGGATCACTTTATCAGCAATGGCTGGCTAGTGGTTAGCAGGCAATCATCAAGCGATATGCCACCTCCACACGTTTTTGAAGATGGATATCACACTGAAACTCTTCTTCACCGTGCCGCTTTCCAATAGAGATTCAGTTGCATCACGGTTGCAGTGTGGTCCGATTCACTTTTGAATGGCATGTTGGAAGGTCGAATTTGAAATGCCAAACTTTTTTTGCAGCCTTGACAATGTGGATGAGGCCACGTGGCTACCATTGGCTGGCTTTTGGCAAGCATCTAAAAACACATCTCAATCACCTGAATTTACAGCCCTAACATGCCCACGTGAAAAGGGGCCCCAATACATGCTTTTGCGTTACCATGCGTTGTTACTGCAACGCTGAAATGTGTCTCCTTCCTTAGGGTCAATTTACTGTCCTTCAAACGTTTGGGTGGCTGGACTGTGGCCAGTGGGAGAAGAAAATGTCCTGGCATCAATGGGAGTAAACAGTGCCCCATCTTTGGTATTAGGGGGGATAGTAGTGTGCTCCATCAGTGGTATTAATAGGGGGAATAGTGCCCCATCATTGGTGTCAATGGGATGAATAGTTCCCCATCATTGGTGTTAGTGGGAGGAAAAGTTCCCCAACATTGGTGTCAATGGGATGAGTAGTTCCCAACCATTGGTGTTAGTGGGAGGAATAGTGCCCCATCATTGGTGTCAGCGGGAGGAATAGTTCCCCATCATTGGTGTCAGCGGGAGGAATAGTTCCCCATCATTGGTGTCAGCGGGAGGAATAGTTCCCCATCATTGGTGTCAATGAGATGAATAGTTCCCCATCATTGGTGTCAATGGGATGAATAGTGCCCCATCATTGGTGTCAGTGGGATGAATAGTGCCCCATCATTGGTGTCAGTAGGAGGAATAGTGCCCCATCATTGGTGTCAGTAGGAGGAATAGTGCCCCATCATTGGTGTTAGTGAGAGGAATAGTTCCCCATCATTTGTGCTAATGGGATGAATAGTTCCCCATCATTGGTGTTAGTGGGATGAATAGTTCCCCATCATTGGTGTTAGTGGGATGAATAGTGCCCCATCATTGGTGTTCAAGTGGGATGAATAGTGCCCCATCATTGGTGTTAGTGGGATGAATAGTGCCCCATCATTGGTGTCAATGGGATGAATAGTGCCCCATCATTGGTGTTAGTGGGAGAGGAATAGTGTCCTTTTGTCAGTCTCAGTGGCAGGAACTATGCCCCACTGTTGCTGACAGTGGGGGGAGGAATAATGCCCCAAGGGGCACATAAAAGCAAGCAAAGGGCCACACTTGGAGACCACTGGCCTAGAATAATAGCCATTATTGTTGCCTATAGCAACAGATTTTCTCCCACATAGCAGAAGAGGCCATGGACCATATGAATAGCCCTTTCCTCATACATTTTCATGTACGCCTCACAGTCCAAAAAAAAGTTACCCACCAATGCCATTGTGTGTGGCACCTCACAGACTTCCCAGGAACTGGCGATGACCTCGGGTCATCGAAGGTTTATTTTCTTGAGGATCCCCCTCGGTGCATGTGTGAGATTTTTTTTTTTTCAACAGGGATCCTCCGTAGCTGGCGACAGTCTCGGAACGCTGCGTGCGTGGGCGTTGTGCGTGGGCTGCAGACCAGCAGTCACCTCTCAGCTGTAGGAGAGGGAAGATTCTGACAAAGCTCTGAAATTCCCTGTATTATCAGCTATTATGACAGGAGGAAAAAAAAAAAAAATCAAAAGGCGCCGCAAAAGAGGCATAAACCGTGTCATCGCTAACTCCTTTCAGTCGCATTGTGGACCTTCACACACACGCAGCCAGGCTCCCGCCTAGGCAGATGAAATATTCATAAACCAGGCCCTACACCTTCAAGCTGCTTTCAATCCTCGAGTGAAGGCAAATCACAAAGCGCAGCGGGGTGGTCTACCAAGGTCGTGGTGTAGCTGCGTATCTGTCGACGGCTGATTAAACTTTGATGGCAAGGGTGTGCTATGTAAATATTCGTTATCGATGTTGTCTCTACGTAAATGTGATTCAAGTATAAAGATTTCTTTTTTTATACAATAAAGTGATATTAAGCCTTCACTATTAAGTACTTTCTGATCTGATTTAATCACTTACTGAGTGTGCAGCTTCTTTATCGTTTAATCCTTGCCTATGTTCCAGCTTCAGCTGGTGCCATGAGTGCTGCCCCAGATTTCCTGTTTCAGTGTGGCTCCTTTATCCTGCAGTATCCTATGGAACCACCCCTGCATGCAGGAGACTAAAGCTGTACCTCCCTACACTGTGTGCATCAATAGAAACACACAGCCTGGGATGGCAAGGCACCACCCTGTTCTTGCACACTCCCACTGTCCACTGTTAACTCTTTCCTGTCCGCACTGTCCACTGTTAACTCTTTCCTGTGAAGCCTGGAAGTTCAGGGAAGCAGCACTGAGAGAGCAGAGAGCCAGCAAGCATTAAAAGTTGTAAAGTGCAAGTGCTAGGCTAAGGATTTTAACAAATAGTTTACTGGGGAATGTTTATTGTATTGTGGTAAATGTGATCTTCTGAAAAAAAAAAAAAATCTGAGGGTTTAATATTACTTTAAATACTTGAGCATTGACCATAGCTGTGATAGTTTGACTGACAATTGCTTTGTTGTACCACGGTGTACCCATATAAATTTTACTGAAACAGAAAGTGTTTTCTTTTAGTTTTTTTTTTGTTTTCCCTCAAAAAAACAAAATCGCACAATCGTTGGTGGTAATTTGCACTTCAATCCCCCCACCACACATTTAACAAAAATACCACAACCATTGGTAGTCAGTGGAGCTTTAAACCTACAGACAACATTTCAGGTCTTTTCAGGGTCCCTTCCTCAAGGTGACATAGAGACCTTTGTATGCTTATGGTTACTATGTTGCCTACGACCCTGCAAGGACCAGAAACATCACTATGTTGTCTTGAGTTAGGAAACCTGCAAGGCTCCAAAACATTACTATATCACCTTGAAGAGGGGACCCTGCAAGGCCCTGAAACATCACCCTGTTAGGAAACCTGCAACTGAAGTGTTGTTGCTTTGAGCAAGGGAACCTGTGAAGGCCTGAACCATCACTATGTTGCCTTGAGGAAGGGACCCTGCAAGCTCCTCGAAGTGTCACTATGTTTCCTTAAGAAAGGGACCCTGCAAGGACCTGAAACATCACTATGTAACCTTGAGGTAGGGAATCTACGATTTTCCAAAACATCACTATGTTGTGTTGAGGAAGGGACCCTGCAAGGCTCCGAAACTTCACTATGTCACCTTGAGTAAGGAAACTTGCGAAGCCCTGAATCCATCACTATGTTGCTTTGAAAAAGGGATCCTGCAAGGCTCTGAAACATTACTATGTCACCTTGAGGTAGGGATGCTACGATGTTCTAAAACATCACTATGTTGTTTTGAGTTAGGGACACCCTGCAAAGCCCCAAAACATCACTAGGTCACCTTGAGGAAGGGACCCTGCAAGGCCCCGAAACATCACTATGTCGCCTTGAGGAAGGGACCCTGCAAGGCCCCAAAACATCACTATGTCGCCTTGAGTTAGGGAACCTGCAAAGCCCCAAAACATCACTATGTCACCTTAAGGAAGGGACCCTGCAAGGCCCCAAAACATCATTATGTTGCCTTGAGGAAGGGACCCTGCAAGGCCCCAAAACATCACTATGTCGCCTTGAGGAAGTTACCCTGCAAGGCCCCAAAGCATCACTATGTCGCCTTGAGGAAGGGATGCTGCAAGGCCCCAAAACATCATTATGTTGCCTTGAGGAAGGGACCCTGCAAGGCCCCAAAACATCACTATGTCGCCTTGAGTTAGGGACCCTGCAAGGCCCCAAAACATTACTATGTCGCATTGGGGAAGGGACCCTGCAAGGCCCTAAAACATCACTATGTCACCTTGAGGAAGGGACCCTGCAAGGCCCCGAAACATCACTATGTCGCCTTGAGGAAGGGACCCTGCAAGGCCCGAAACATCACTATGTCGCCTTGGGGAAGGGACCCTGCAAGGCCCCAAAGCATCACTATGTTGCCTTGAGGAAGGGACCCTGCAAGGCCCCAAAACATCACTATGTCACCTTGAGGAAGGGACCCTGCAAGGCCCCAAAACATCACTATCTCGTCTTGAGGAAGGGACCCTGTAAGGCCCCGAAACATCACTATGTCGCCTTGAGGAAGGGACCCTGCAAGGCCCGAAAAAATCACTATGTCGTCTTGGGGAAGGGACCCTGCAAGGCCCGAAATATCACTATGTCGCCTTGGGGAAGGGACCCTGCAAGGCCCCAAAGCATCACTATGTCGCCTTGAGGAAGGGACCCTGCAAGGCCCCAAAACATCACTATGTCACCTTGAGTTAAGAAATCTGCGAGGCCCTGATTCCATCACTATCTTGCCTTGAAGGAGGGACCCTGCAACCAGGGTGCCCAGGCACCTCGGGGTGCCTTGAGGTTTCTTCAGGGGTGCTTTGTCAAAATGCCTAAAAATTACCCAAAAATTGTATAAAAAGCCAGAGGTGGATCAAGCCTGCCTTTTAGTTACACAAAGCCACAGGTTTTCATTGTGCACCATTACGACCTTCTAGCTGTGTGCATCCAAAAACCAATTACATCATCAGGTGACAAGGAGGACAGTGGCTACCTGCACATTATCCTTGTTTGACCCTCCCCTGCCCCTCTCCATCAGTGCTGGGGTCACATTAGCTGATTGATGGAGGGAGAAGAGAAACACTGGAATACTAGTCAGTACCAGTGTGCAAAAGCGTATTTGATTTGGAAGAATAAATCACCTTAAATGTTGGGTGTCCTACATGTGTGGGTGTTGATGCATTATGTAAAACTATTAAAATAGCTTTTTACATTTTAGGATGAGTTCCTCAAAGCTGTCCGTAATTTTAAAGGGTGCCTTGAGACTGTCCATAATTTTAAAGGGTGCCTTGAGACTGTCCATAATTTTAAAGGTTGCCTTAAAGACTGTCCACAATTTTAAGGGTGCCTTGAGACTGTCCATAATTTTAAAGGGTGCCTTGAGATTGCCCATAATTTTAAAAGGGTGCCTTGAGACTGTCCATAATTTTAAAGGGTGCCTTGAGACTGTCCATAATTTTAAAGGGTGCCTTGAGACTGTCCATAATTTTAAAGGGTGCCTTGAGACTGTCCATAATTTTAAAGGGTGCCTTGAGACTGTCCATAATTTTAAAGGGTGCCTTGACTGACTGTCCATAATTTTAAAGGGTGCCTTGAGACTGTCCATAATTTTAAAGGGTGCCTTGAGACTGTCCATAATTTTAAAGGGTGCCTTGACTGAAAAAAGGTTGAGAAACACTGCTTCACTCTACATAAATGCATACTATAAAGTATATTGCTTTTGTTACATTTCAAAGAAGTCCAGTCACATTTGAGATCAAATAGTTCACAAGCCTTGATGAAGTGAGATAGTCTGAGCCCCCATCACGTGTTGGATTTCTTTTTATTGATCATTTAATAAGACATAACTTTGGTCTTTCTGACCCTTTATGTGCCACGCCTTCTGTTTCTTGATGGGTCAGCAAAAAAAAATGTGATAGTGCAGTGTTTTTGATGGTTCAAAGGAAATCAATAAAAAAAATACAGAGAGACTGGCGATGCAGTGATTTTGATCAACCAGAAGAAATCAACAAGAGGAAATGGAAAACAACTGGCAGTGTGTTGGTTTTGATCTATTCGAACACCAGTTTTGATTACAAGGTGGCTCAAAATCAAGAAATGATTGAGACTATGGAGTCGCAGATTACCGAAAAACATTCCATTCCATTGACTTGTGTTGTTGATTCCAAAATTGTAGCATGTACGTTTTCTTGGCACACTAGAGTCCTGTGCTGTCAGACGATTTTGGGTGAAGGAGGCCTGAAATGTAAAGCATCCAGAGCCCCACATACTAGAGCTAGCTTAGATATCTTCCCTTTCGTGAAACTTATTACTTATCAGTGAATGTATTAAAAACTGTTTTACATAAACCAACCTGTGATTTATGTTAAGTGGCTTCTTACCATGATTACGGAATTGCAAATTTTCCAAAAGCTGCGATTTTTAACATTGAATTAGTAATAACATATAACCCTTAGTTGCCAATGTCTTTTTTTCAAGCCGCACACAAACTTTATCTTAATGTCAAGATGAGAAATGGAAACCACTGCCAAAAGCTGTTTGTTTTAGTCCAGAAATGCTTTCATACAACGAGGTCAACTTTCTGGGTAACTTTCTCTGGTCACAGCTAGTCTAAGAACACCTAAATCTGAGCTTGAAATCCTGTAATTCCCAACTCCACCCACCAGGATCTGCTTGCAGCATAATCATGCATGCTTCTTATTCAGAGAGGATTTATCACCATCCGTGGTCTTCCCCATTACAGTATAGATAAATTACTACATTTACAGAGATTTCCCCTACAAGGAGGGAAGTTGTCCCTCACATGGCATGGCAAGAGTCTGTAGTCCTCCTTAAAGGCTTTTGTGAAAGCCTTGCTTTATTTGAAAGTGAGGAAGCTGCATACATCTGAGCTGAACTGAGTAAATTTGTTTTGTTAAAGTGATCTTTTGGCCAGTCTATGTATTTACAGATTCCTGTATTACAGGATTATTTGTGATCTGAGTTCAAGGTATCGTAAAGATGCAGTCTGCAGTGTCTGTATCAAAGAGGAGAGCACAAAACACATGTTGCTCACTTGCATTCCAAGTTTAATGTGTTAAATAGAAATGGATCACATTATACAGATAATTACTTTCTTTATAGTGGCAGTGCAGGCCACATGGAAAAGCACATTAAATTGTATTAAAGAATTACCATATAGGGTACTAAACAGAGAAAGTGAATGTTAGTACAAACACAAAACTGAACGAACATAGCATAAACAAAGTGTGACTAACCTGTATCAAGAGGAGAACAGAAAACAAGTGTTGCTTACTTGCATTCTGAGTTTAATGTGAGCTTGTTGATATTAGTCTCCTGAAGTCATACTACAAATCTTTAGAGCTCCCTCTAGCTGCAGCCTAGCAATAGCATTACTGGGAGGTTTATTCATTCACTTGCTACATTAACAAGGGATTGCTGGGCTGCCTAACAGAATGTCTTGAAACGACGCACTGCAACGTGGACTTTTGGATGAATTGCTCCATGGGGCCTGCAGCTACAGTGGTCAATGAAGATTTGTTTTAATATTCATTTACTGCATTTTAGGAATATCTAAATGCTTGAACATCCATAGCCAAAGGTTCAGTTAAAAGCTGAACTTCAGATATAGACAGTTACATACACAAAAATGCATGTATATAGAGATTTATCTATGTAGTGTCATCCCCTTAGGAGTCACTGGAATGGTTGTGCCTATTGGTTACCCACCTTGTAACCTGGATTGATGGTGTAGTGACCCATTAATGGCAAAAAATAGGATTCGATCACTTTAGGCTTTTTACTTTTTATTACTGAACTCAGCTACAGGCAAGGAAATTTAGAGTTGTCGGATACCGGAAAATAGCACAAAAATGGAGGACAAATATTATAAAATCCTAGCAGTAGGCACCATAAGAGTAGCAGTAAAATCAGTGACAGTTGTTCTTAGTTGTAGTGGTTAAGGCAGGCTTGTCCATGTTGGAAGTAGTCGAAAAGGATAGCTTGATTTGTGGGCAACAAGTTTTTCTTTCGATGGCTTCTACCCAGCTTCCTTTCGACACTCTTCAGTATAAAAGGTTCCTTTTCAGCTCGGCTTCCTTCAATAAATCATTCCAGCTTTAGGTCAAGTTCTTGGGCCTTCAGCACATGAATTAGGCAAGGCCCGAGCATTAATCCTCTACATAGGGACCATCCCCTGGGAGAGGCCCCAGTGGAAAGCGAGTTTTGGAAAAGTTTCCAGATATTTGTAATCTCACCAACCCTTACATCTGAACACAGTTCCTCAAGGATTGGTTTAGTTGGGTAAATATTGATAACCTAAGTAGTTGACCCTCCTGCACTGCTTACTGGAGCCTCTTTCCCGCAACAGGCAATACCAATCAAGCCCCTACCTCCTCGCACACCAGAAAGCTTGGTACTAGCTAGGTACACATCCGCATTGGGCATGATCCCTACATCTATGAAATGTTTTGTAATTCTGTGCAAATAGACTTGTGATTCAGCCATGTCTGCCAGACAGCACAGGCTAGTCCTGGACCCCAAGCACACTATTCTGCATTAATGCCTGGTCCAGGTTTCTGTCCTACCCTGGGATTGGACAATGAAGAAATAGCACTGTGCTTTCCACATGGGCAATCATATTAAGATGTCAGAGCAGGGGTCTCCAAACTTTCTAAGCAAAGGGCTAGTTTACTCTCCTTCAGACTTTAGGGGGGGGTGAACTGTGGGGCAGAGGGAGTAGAAATTGTTCTGGCATCAGTAGGAATAAACAGTGCTTCTTTGATATTAGGGAAAGGAATAGTGCCCCATCATTGCTTTTAATGGTGGGAATAGTGCCACATTGTTGGTGTCAATTGTAGAAATAGTGCCCCATTGTTGATGTCAGTGGCAGGAACTATGCCCCATTGTTGATGTCATAGTATCAGTGGAAGGAAGGACCAGATAATGTAAAGAGCCAGAAAAAGGCAAGCAAAGGGCCTTTTGCAGGCCCTGGGCCACTGTTTGGAGATCACTGTGTTAGACTAACAGCACTGCAATAGAGCCCTAATTGTCTGAGTGCTTACTCTCCTTCTCGAAATTTGGGTCCAATTTATCAGAAAATACAGGAGGTGGCTAACAAGACACATTCAGATACTTACACTAGTTGTGTTTAAAAATAAAATAAATTCTAGTCTTTTTTCCTAGTTTTGGACACTGTGGGAGTTAACATGTACATAAAGTCGAACCTTTTTAAAGTTTTGATAAGAACATGGAATAGTTAGGATCATGTTTGCTGTCTGAGTCCCATCAGGGAGATTTCTCTTCATTTCCTGTCCCAGAGAAACAGTGGGAAGGGGAGATCTCTCCAAAGTCAGGGGATCCCTTCTTAGACAATCTCATTTCTGTCAGTGATCCTATTTTCCTAAATTACTGTCCATGTGACACCACTACAAGAAATGAAGAGTGTTGTTGCACCAGGACATCTCCCCTCACTCACCATTGCAGTAAGAGATTCTACTTGTTTTTTTCTTGTTGTTTTTTTTTTTCATTTTTTTCCTTCATTTTCTTTTCTCACAGGGAATACAAAACAAGCACATGGTTGGTTGCTGTGGGTTTTCCTGGTTGTTTGCTACTGTCAGTTTTTATAAATTTCACCCGATTTGCTTCATTGCCCGGCATTCTAAGAACCGTAAAGAAAAAGTATTTTAATTTGCTTATGTGAAAGCTTTGCATGTTTTGTTCGTAGCTAGCTGCCTTTCTGGTACATGTCACTCTATGTCAGCTCCAAACAACTTACAAAGGACTTTAAATATTTACACTAATCTATATTTCAGATATACAAAAGGCGCTCAAAATGCCTTTGCTAATACTCATGACCAAATGGAAGTTTCAGAACCGTTCTTGGTTTCTATTATGTGCAGAGGGTAATTGCAGGGCAATAACCTTAGAATAGCGCAGAGCTGGGGCAGATCCAAGTCAAACTAACATAGGGATCTTCCAGAGTTATATCTCACATGATGCTTAGCAGTAAATCTTCCATGCTAGCTAATAACCTCTTTTCCAGTAACATTCATGGTGGTTGGGAAGGGTAGGGCTGAACCTTGTTGGTGGTGGTTGATCTGTGGGAGCTGGACTCATGGAGGGTCCTTGAAATCATGAGGTCTTCAAACATGAAAGTGCAGGATGGTGAGGAGCACCATAAATAAAAAGGTCTTTCACCCAGTTAAAACACAAGATGGTGTTTATAGATCATTAAATGTTCATAAGACATAACCAATTTGTTTTGGGGGTTAAAGTCACCCCCTTCTTCAAGACTTTTTGAGAGGAGTTAATGTAAGGTCAGATCTGTGGTTTAAGTTGAGAAGCTCAAGAGAGAAATGCCCCAGTGTTGCAGGACCTCAACCTTAGGATGGAACAGAGTGAGATTAAGTCCAAGTCAAACTTGCATGGGGATCCTGCTGTGCTATATATCCCATGAGGCTTAGCAGCAAATCTTGCATGTTAGCTAATGTCCTCTCTCCAGTAATATCCATGGTGGGTGAGAGAGGTATCACTGCACCTTGTTGGTGGTGGTTGATCTTTGGCAGTTTAATTCATGGAAGGTCCTTGAAAAGAGGTCATCAGGCATGAAAGTGCAGGCAGGTGAGGTGCACCATAAATAGAAGGTCTTGA